CGATGTGATGTAATGTTAAGTGATTATGTAATGTGATTTTGTGTTGCGATGATGTGATGTAATGTTAAGAGATTATGTAATGTGATGATGTGATGTTATGTAATGTTAAGAGATTATGTAATGTGATGATGTGATGTGATGTAATGTAATGTTAAGAGATTATGTAATGTGATGATGTGATGTTATGTAATGTTAAGAGATTATGTAATGTGATGATGTGATGTTATGTAATGTTAAGAGATTATGTAATGTGATGATGTGATGTTATGTAATGTTAAGAGATTATGTAATGTGATGATGTGATGTTATGTAATGTTAAGAGATTATGTAATGTGATGATGTGATGTTATGTAATGTTAAGAGATTATGTAATGTGATGATGTGATGTTATGTAATGTTAAGAGATTATGTAATGTGATGATGTGATGTTATGTAATGTTAAGAGATTATGTAATGTGATGATGTGATGTTATGTAATGTTAAGAGATTATGTAATGTGATGATGTGATGTTATGTAATGTTAAGAGATTATGTAATGTGATGATGTGATGTTATGTAATGTTAAGAGATTATGTAATGTGATGATGTGATGTTATGTAATGTTAAGAGATTATGTAATGTGATGATGTGATGTTATGTAATGTTAAGAGATTATGTAATGTGATGATGTGATGTTATGTAATGTTAAGAGATTATGTAATGTGATGATGTGATGTTATGTAATGTTAAGAGATTATGTAATGTGATGATGTGATGTTATGTAATGTTAAGAGATTATGTAATGTGATGATGTGATGTTATGTAATGTTAAGAGATTATGTAATGTGATGATGTGATGTTATGTAATGTTAAGAGATTATGTAATGTGATGATGTGATGTTATGTAATGTTAAGAGATTATGTAATGTGATGATGTGATGTTATGTAATGTTAAGAGATTATGTAATGTGATGATGTGATGTTATGTAATGTTAAGAGATTATGTAATGTGATGATGTGATGTTATGTAATGTTAAGAGATTATGTAATGTGATGATGTGATGTTATGTAATGTTAAGAGATTATGTAATGTGATGATGTGATGTTATGTAATGTTAAGAGATTATGTAATGTGATGATGTGATGTTATGTAATGTTAAGAGATTATGTAATGTGATGATGTGATGTTATGTAATGTTAAGAGATTATGTAATGTGATGATGTGATGTTATGTAATGTTAAGAGATTATGTAATGTGATGATGTGATGTAATGTTAAGATATTATGTAATGTGATGATGTGATGTTATGTAATGTTAAGTGATTATGTGATGTGATGATGTGATGTGATGTAATGTTAAGTGATTATGTGATGTGATGATGTGAGCACATGGGCAGGTCCTTCCCGAGCATCTGCAGCTCTGACAGCAGGTAATAGTGTCTCTCTTGTTGTCTGGCGGCATCAGGAGCATCTGCAGCTCTGACAGCAGGTAATAGTGTCTCTCTTGTTGTCTGGCGGCATCAGACTGATCTTCACTCCCACGGCCATCCCACATTCAGCTTGTACACCAAGAAGAGCACATAATAAAGCAAATAATACCCCTTTAAAATCTGAGTGAATAAGTATGAGTGGATGAATTAAAAATTGTTTTTGTTGATTGAAATAAAGTTGAAATAAAATAAAATAAAATATTAGATGAAGAACTAAGACCGAAATGAGAAATGTTGCCTTGGCAACTAGCTAAAATAAAATGAACTACAAAAACGAAAATATAAAACTATAACCTAATTTAAAATATTAATAAATACTATAATAGCATTCAAATAATACTAAAATAACACTGGTCATGCTCACCTAAATTATGCATTAATGTGCCAAGCAGCTTGACAACTGTAAACACTCATTTAGGATAATAAACAATGTTACTTGTTAATTATTATGATTATGGTTGTTATTATTTGTATTCAAAACATATACAATCAAATAAATATATAAGCAAGCAAGATGCAATAAACTAGTAGAAACTGAATATAAAGACAAAAGCAATTCAATAATCAGGAGGGTTATTGTACATAGATAGTTTTGTAATCGATATGAATTATTTATTGATCGTTAGTGTCTTTTCAGCTTGTAAGATGGTAAATCTCTTATAACTGACACTAAAAACAGATTCAACTGAACGAAACTCCTGCCTGCTTCATATTTCGGCTTCCGGAGAGGAAAAGGCTGATGCTTAAGGCGTGTCGAGTTTAAATACGAACGTTCGTTTGATGTTTATTATGTATAATAACAAATTACAGACTCAAGTGACAATTGTTTTGAACTGTGCGTGCAAGTTTGCGCATGCGCACCAGCGGAGCTGAGGTCCTTCAGCACGAGGGGTTGCTCTTTCATATGTCTAGACGTTTTCTTAGTTTAATAATTCATAGACATAATAGATGTATTATTATGTCTAAGTTTTAATTAATATTTAATTAATATTTTAATATTTTTGTTCAACTTATTGTTACATACTGCAGCTTTTATTCCTTATTTTTTATTGCATACATTTTTGGAATCTGATTAAGTAATCCAGATTACATGTAATCAGTTACAACCCAGCTATATATATATATATGTATAATGCTGTTCAAAAGGGACAACTTCTTTTGTTTTAAAGAAGTCTCTTCTGTTCATCAAGGCTTCATTTATTTGATCAAAAATACAGAAAAAAACAGTAATATTGTACAATGTTATTGCAATTTAAAATAATAATTTTCTATGTGAATGTATAGTAAACTGTAATGTATTTCTGAGATGCGCAGCTGTATTTTCAGCATCATTACTCCAGTCTTCAGTGTCACATGATCTTCAGAAATCAGTATAATATGCTGATCTGCTGCTCGAGAAACATTTCTGATTATTATCAATGTTGAAAACAGT